CCGGTCGGCTGTAGTCTTTGCGGTGCGTTTAAGTGCAACTTTTTGGCCAGGACGTGAGGCACACAGGCGGCTTGTCAGTTAATACATTTTTAATCTGTTAAATTCTTAACAGCCATAAATTGATTAAAGATTAATCATGAACATTGAAACAACAAGAGCTTTTAGTGGACATACTTGAACCTTCCTCTATAAAGAAGATGTGATGTGCCCCCAAGGATCACATTGGAGCCAGTTTTAGAAAACATCAATATAATGTATCAGTTGTAATTCAGACCCTGAAATATGTAAAAATAGTTGTTACTATGCAGGAATTACACTTTGACAAAAACCCAGGGGCCAACAGAACAAAATATTTCACAACAGACAACAGAGATACTGATCTTTTTTACAACAATCTTCTCATTGACTCTGTCTTTGTTTTGCTCTTTTCATGTAACAGATGGACAACATGGAGAAGGGTCTTGATATGCCATCTAACAGGATGAATATGTGGCTGAATCTGAGCGTCCTCATTGCATCCAACAGGAAGAGGAATGCCTGACATGACATTTAACCTTTGTGCATCACTTCCTCTGACAGACCATCTGCAGGATGACAGCCTGAGTCCTACAGGTGAACCAATGGCCTGGGAAGAGGTGAACCTCTGCTCTTTAAAGTTTGTCAGAAGATGATCTTTGGTAGACATTACATTTTAATTTCATGGAGCTTTGTGTTGTGTTGATATCTCAAGGGGTGTTTCCAGACTGTTATTAGGACTGAGGGGGTCTGAACTGAATTCTCGTCTCTTTTCTTGCCCCGAAAATGTCCAGGCTTTGATTTGGAGCATTACCACAAAAGTTCTGACCCCAGGATTTAAAGGCGAGACTGGAAAAACTGAGATTAGTCATCTTGTTTGCAAACTTGTTTACGTCAGTGCATACTGCATTTTTCTCCAGCAGCAATTGGAAAACAAATTTTGTAGATGTTCATGCTGGACAACTCAACAATCCTTTTTACAATATGTCGGACTTAGATGGAAAAAGGGAGTCTCTACCACCAATGGTCCCCATTTCTGGTTCCTGCAAACCTAGATTCTAATCTTCTGCATGGAGTGCAAAGAGTGGATACAACTGACTCATTGACAAACACATAGACAAACTGTGTAAGTGGAGGAAAATACATCTCTTCTTTTTTATTGGATCTGTATTTTACCTTTCTTGGGTTTGAGTCCCAACAGAAACACTTGACTGAATCAGGGGATGGTCAACCACTCGATAAACCTGTCTGATTGCAGCCTGCAACGACGAGGTCCATCTTGATAGTCAAGTTAGAGCTCCAAGAAGAGAAAGTCCTCTCCCCCCCACTTACCTCTGGTGGGGGGGAGGGTGAAGGACAGCAACATTTACGGGTGTAGGGCTCAGGGTGTAATTTGGTAGTTGTTAGAGGTTAGGCTGTAGAGTAGACTGTAGAGTAAGGCAGCTTAACTCTGGGTATTAATAGTCTTTTGCTTCTTTACTTGTTTTACCAAAACTAACTTCTGTGATATCTAACCTGCAGATATTAGCCTTTAGCTCTGCTCTAGAAAGTGCTGAAGTTTAGCAATAAGCTCAGATCCAGTTGTCAGTGTACAACCTTGATCTAATCAGCTAGCTGTTTTAAGGCTCTTTAGTTTTGAAGTTAGAGCATAAGTGAACCCCGGTCGCTCTGCAGTCACCCACTTCTCAAGCCTGAGGTTTCCAAGCCTTTAGCCTGTGTGCTAGCTCTCAAACCAGCTAAACATGGATGCTAATCAAGGCCCAGGCCAAGGCAGCCCAGAAAGCCCAAACCGGGCCGTGGAGTATCTTCTTGAACTCAACAACATCATCGAGAGCCAACAGAAGCTTCTGGAAACCCAACGGCGCAGAATCGAGGAACTTGAGGTCCAGCTTGACCGGCTTAGCCAGGAGAACAAGGACCTGCGGTTGGACCGACAGCCTGTTGCTCCACCTCCACCTGCACCTCCTCCTGAACCTCCTCTCCCTCCTCCTCCACCGCCGCCTCCACCGACCCAGGCCACATCAGCATCAGTTTCTACCAAGAGCCACCACCAATACCACAACAGCCAGCACCAAGCTCCTTCCCAACCTCCTTCTTCAATCTCCCTCCATCACAGCCACCACCACCACCAGCATTATCAGCACCACCACCACACCTCCACCCACCACTGCTACAACAGCACCAACAGCACCAGTATGACTGCTATTCCAGTTCCTGCCCCTGCTCCATCTTCGGTCCCGACCTCCATCTCAATCCCAACTTCAATCCCAGCTCCGATGTCCTGTTCAGCACCGGCCCCACCTCCACCTCCTCCGATCCCGCCCAGGGATCAGCCAAGAGCCCACAGTCGGCTGACCCGGGCTCCATCCACCAGTACTGGCACCAACACCAACTTTGTAGAGAAAGAAAAGGAGAGGCTTGAACGCCTGCATCGAGCCAATTCCTCCAACAACCACCATGCCCACACGCTCCACCACCACAAATCGTAAGTAACAGTTTAGCTCTTCCTTCTACAATCAAAGCCAAAGGTAGCAAAGAGGAGGGCAAACCTAAACTCATCATTGGACTGACATTAACAAAGCATACCTACTGAATACTGTCTCAAACAGGCTGTCTAGTCACAGGACACCATATCGGAAACAGCTCAGTTATCCTTCACCTCCTTCAGATTCTGTCTGTTTAAAGTCTTTCATGTGATGCAGAGAGAATCTGTTGGTACATTCAAATGATTCTGTATCCTGAAGGGTAACATATGGGCTCATTGTGCCATGTCTTTAGTGTTAATATGGCATCTGTTCACCAAGTTTACATAATCAAACTTGGCTTTCAGTCCACTATACCACTGTCTGTTTTGCCAAACTCGTGTTAATCTTTGACTTTGATAGCTACTAACTTGCTGCTTCTCTCGCAGGTTTTGTGCTAGCCAGAAGTATGTGCCCACATGCATTATATGAGTTGGAAACATTTTCCTAACTTTTTGCTGGCAAGGCAAAGCTATGTGCTGATTTGTTGTAAAGTGTTTTGGAAATGAAGAGGTGACTTTTCAAAGTTTAATGTTGAAGTGTTTCTTCCTCCAAAGTTGAGGGGGCAGCTGATGCCCATGTGCGTTCTCTCTGTAGTGATATTGGTGGGTGTGCAGGGCTGATAAATATTCATCCTTTTATCAGCTAATAGGGCTACAAAGTGGAAGGTTGAAGTGAGAATTTACATTATTGCAGAGAAGCAGGAGTGCATGAGACTCCAGAGAAGGACAAACTAAACGATAAGAGGATCTCTAACATAGATAATTGGAGGACTGCACAGTGTTATGTAATAGATAGTTCTGCTAAACAGCAGTTTGAGTTCATAAAGAAAACGAGCTGTGCTTTATTTCAAAGCCTTTGTTGCTGTACTAATCATCATGTTCAACACTTAACAGGTAGTAAGATGCTTTCTTTTCTGGCTCTTATTGAGTCATATTTTTTGCTGTGAATCCATTTTCAATCAGAACTCTGTTGGCAGGCCAGAATTGGGTTTGTTGCGTGGCAACACTATCTTAGGAGCATCCTATCAGGAAGAGAACACCGGAGCCTCGCTGCTGTCTTCAGCTGTCGTCTTTGTAGGCAGCAGGATGCAGGGCTGCAGCTGTCCCATGCGTCTACCAGGTCGCTGAATCTGCTGTCTGTGGAAGGGCTGGCCATGGCGATTGCTGTTAGCTGTTGCTATGCAACTGTAGAAAACCTGTTTGAAGGACGACACTCTTGCTAATAGTTGAAATGTTTTTAATCTCACTCAGTGCTGAAAGCCTTTGCAAAGCTTTGCAAAGCTTGCACCACAGTTAGAGAGCATCGCCTCCCTTCCTCTGCAAACACAGAGAGATCCTGATGGAGCTGCAGAGATGAAGGCTGGGGAAACGCAGTGATGACTCACAGAGACACATTTATTAGTACTATTGCTCCGTCTTATAAGCTGTCATACATACAGCCAGAAGGAGACAAAGGTGTCTGACTCAGACTTTCAGATTTGGTATTAACCGGAGGGATTTAAGTGCTGAAAAAAAATCCTCCCAGCCCTGAGTCATGGGACATTCAGGTACCACAGATATGGTGAGAAAAATCTGACCTAGAGCCTGATGTAACAGAGAATGATGATGAAGTCTGACAGCAGTGACCATAAGGCTGGTTCGTTATGAAATCGTACATTTCAATCAGCTGCTCGCTGCCTCTTCAACTGACTGAGTGTGAGCCAAAAAATCCCACACTGCACTGAGGCAGATTATAGCACAGAGGCATGAGTGCATGTTGCTGAGCCTCCTGCACTGGTTTTCTGAGGGATTTCGTATCCGGCATGATGCAGCAAAATGCAAAACACCCTGACACAAATTTATCTTGCAGCCCCTCGCATCCCCTCAGGCTGAAGCAGTAAAAACAAGTGACACACACAAGGAGGGCATTACTTTTGTAGGACATGAAGGAGCAGTGATCACATTTCTTCAGCAGGACAACATGTAAACCAGATGACCTGTGATGACTGATCAGGGCTTTGAGCTCCATACATCTTGTATTCGCTCCACTACAGCAGGCAGCTGGCTTGTAAGCAGTCGAACCACACAGTTAAACCTGTAACACAACAGAAGCCACAGGAGACAATGATCTGCAGCACAGTGTCAGCTACACATGCACCAGCTTGAAATAGACACTTAAACTGAAACATAGTAAAATGTAATAAAAATGCAGAACATAACGAAGTTCAATGACTTCATGAAAGATTGAAGAGTGAACTCACCATCATGCAGGCGACTTCTCAACAGCATCTAAAGCTGGAAGAAACTCAAAGTCTAAGTGACATATCTGGTTTACCTGCCTTATGAGAGGAGGGATACTAACACTTTATCTGTGTTTCTTTTTTTAAAGATTTTTTTTGGGCTTTTCGTGCCTTTAATGCAGAGAGAGGACAGTGAACAGAGTCGGAAACCAGGGAGAGAGAGGACAGTGAATAGAGTCTGAAACCAGAGAGAGAGAGGACAGTGGATAGAGTCTGAAACCAGAGAGAGAGGACAGTGGATAGAGTCTGAAACCAGAGAGAGAGAGGACAGTGGATAGAGTCTGAAACCAGAGAGAGAGAGAGGACAGTGGATAGAGTCTGAAACCAGAGAGAGAGAGAGGACAGTGGATAGAGTCTGAAACCAGAGAGAGAGAGAGGACAGTGGATAGAGTCTGAAACCAGAGAGAGAGAGAGAGGACAGTGGATAGAGTCTGAAACCAGAGAGAGAGAGAGGACAGTGGATAGAGTCTGAAACCAGAGAGAGAGAGAGGACAGTGGATAGAGTCTGAAACCAGAGAGAGAGAGAGAGGACAGTGGATAGAGTCTGAAACCAGAGAGAGAGAGGACAGTGGATAGAGTCTGAAACCAGAGAGAGAGAGAGGACAGTGGATAGAGTCAGAAACCAGAGAGAGAGAGAGGACAGTGAATAGAGTCAGAAACCAGGGAGAGAGAGAGGACAGTGGATAGAGTCTGAAACCAGAGAGAGAGAGAGGACAGTGGATAGAGTCAGAAACCAGAGAGAGAGAGGACAGTGGATAGAGTCAGAAACCAGAGAGAGAGAGGACAGTGGATAGAGTCTGAAACCAGAGAGAGAGAGGACAGTGGATAGAGTCTGAAACCAGAGAGAGAGAGAGGACAGTGGATAGAGTCAGAAACCAGAGAGAGAGAGGACAGTGGATAGAGTCAGAAACCAGAGAGAGAGAGGACAGTGAATAGTGTCTGAAACCAGGGAGAGAGAGCGGGGAATGACATGCAGAAAGGGGCCACGGGTGGAAGGGAACCCGGGCCTACTGCTTGAGACGTGGGTCTCAATACATGGGACGCGCGCCCTAACCATTGCGCCACCAGCGCGCCCCTTATCTGTGTTTCTTATTCTAAAAGCTTTAACCCTCCTGGTGCATCTGTTTCTGTGAAGCCTCCCTTCCTGATTAACCCTTGAAATACTCTTTCCGATGATTCTTCCAGTTCATCAGAGGATACAGTCTGTGTTATTGGTCACTCGTGATGATACCATAAGCATCATGAGACATCAGAGCTGTGACATCATATTGATCCAGGAGAGAAACAGCTGTGCTAATGAACACAGAGAGTGGGAGTAGACAGATCTTCACATGCTTCTCTTGTTATCTAGAGTTTGTCTCTTTCTTGATCACGACTTGTGTTAACTTAGTATTTGTTTTATTCTGATCATATCTCCTTAGTCACGATGACGTACGACTCATTTCAGCTATCATATGACGTCGGGGTTTTCCGCTTACCAGCACCTTTGTTTAAGCTTTAACACACCACCAACATGTTGCTCCACCTGCAGCGCCCTGATCAGCTGTTTGGCTCAGAGACAAGAAATAGATCCAAACTTCTTAAAAATCCGCTGCTTACACACGGGAGGATACAGGACGCTCACAGGGTTTATACTTTATAGAGCTGGATTTAGACTTTATAGAGCTGGATTTATACTTTATAGAGCTGGGTTAGTGTTAATACTTTATAGAGCTGGATTTATACTTTATAGAGCTGGATTAGTGTTTATACTTTATAGAACTGGGTTAGTGTTTAGACTTTATAGAACTGGGTTAGTGTTTATACTTTATAGAGCTGGATTAGTGTTTGTACTTTATAGAGCTGGATTAGTGTTTATACTTTATAGAACTGGGTTAGTGTTTATACTTTATAGAACTGGATTAGTGTTTGTACTTTATAGAGCTGGATTTATACTTTATAGAGCTGGATTTATACTTTATAGAACTGGGTTAGTGTTTATACTTTATAGAACTGGGTTAGTGTTTATACTTTATAGAGCTGGATTAGTGTTTATACTTTATAGAACTGGATTAGTGTTTATACTTTATAGAACTGGGTTAGTGTTTATACTTTATAGAACTGGATTAGTGTTTATACTTTATAGAACTGGGTTAGTGTTTATACTTTATAGAACTGGATTAGTGTTTATACTTTATAGAACTGGATTAGTGTTTATACTTTATAGAACTGGGTTAGTGTTTATACTTTATAGAACTGGGTTAGTGTTTATACTTTATAGAGCTGGATTAGTGTTTATACTTTATAGAACTGGATTAGTGTTTATACTTTATAGAACTGGGTTAGTGTTTATACTTTATAGAGCTGGGTTAGTGTTTATACTTTATAGAACTGGGTTAGTGTTTATACTTTATAGAGCTGGGTTAGTGTTTATACTTTATAGAGCTGGGTTAGTGTTTATACTTTATAGAACTGGGTTAGTGTTTATACTTTATAGAGCTGGATTAGTGTTTATACTTTATAGAGCTGGATTTATACTTTATAGAACTGGGTTAGTGTTTATACTTTATAGAACTGGATTAGTGTTTATACTTTATAGAACTGGATTAGTGTTTATACTTTATAGAACTGGATTAGTGTTTATACTTTATAGAACTGGGTTAGTGTTTATACTTTATAGAGCTGGGTTAGTGTTTATACTTT